CCCGGGGCAGCCCCGCGGGGCTCGGCCGCGCCTGCCCTCCCCACCCTGATCCCGTCCCCTCTACAGCGAGAAGACTGCATGCAGCTCGGGTCTGCCCGGCCCCTCACTCGCCGCCATCCCAGCTCCCCCTGAGAGGGGGCAGGAAGGCGCTGACAGCGCAGAGGGTGGCAGGGCGGCCGGTGACGGTCACCACCCCCGGAGCCCGGAGCGCAGGGGAGCCTTCCTGGGATGCCCTCTGCCAGGAGCCTGAACACACACGCGCGCACACATGCACACCCTGTGCGCACACACACACATGCACACCCGTGAGCACACACACATGCACACCCGTGCGCGCACACACATGCACACCCGTGCACACACATGCACACCCGTGAGCACACACATGCACACCCGTGCGCACACACACGCACACCCGTACACACACATGCACACCCGTGCGCACACGCACACCCGTGCGCACACGCACACCCGTGAGCACACGCACACACACGCACACCCGCGCGCGCACACACGCACACCCGTGCGCACACGCACACCCGTGCGCACACGCACACCCGTGTGCACACACACGCACACACGTGTGCACCTGCACACATGGGGACGCACACACGCACTCTTTGGGTTTCCTGGTGGGTCCTACGTCACAGATGAGGGGCCGGGTGGCGACCAGCTGTGTCACGTGAACCCAGGACTGGCCACGGAGCCCGACCCGAGTGGGTGGTCAGTGCTGCTACTTGAACCTTTTGGGGTCTCTTCCAGGAGCTCCAGCCCCGCCCCCCGTTCCTGGAATACCCCCGTGTGCAGGCACTAGCCCGGGTGCGGCCCGCAGCCGGCCGGAGCCCCCGGCTGGGAGGACACCGGGCCAGCCACCACCCAGCCTCTCCCCAGATGGCTTCTGTCTGCCTTCCCTGGCTGCCTCCAGCCATGTGCCACTTGGTGCCCGTGCCAGGCCTTCTTCCCTGGGCCTGCGTTCCAGAACAGACAATGGCAGAACAATGGCTCTGCCCGCCCCCTCGACAGCCCCCCCCACGAGGCTGCCATGGCGACGGAGCCCAGATAAAAACACGACGCTGCCAATCACCGGGAGTTAATTAAATCTGTTCTCCTGTTCCCAGAGCCCTCAGGAACAGGAATGTTTGGAGGAAGCCAGTGCTAACTAGGGTCCCCCCAGTTCACAGGGCAGAAAGGCACTTCTGAGAAATAGGTCAGGGTCCAGGCTTGGTGACCCGGCTCACTGGCTGGCGGGCCCTGCTCGCTGGGGACGCCAGGGCCGGAGGATGGAGTCCCAGAGCCAGGAGTCTGGGACTATAACGAGACTTCATCTCTAAGGCTTAAGAAAAGGACATACATGCCAGGCACTGGTGGCTCACGCCTGTCATCCTAGCTACTCAGGGGGCTGAGATCTGAGGATCGCAGTTCAAAGCCAGCCTGGGCAGGAAAGACTGTGAGACTCCTATCTCCAATAAACCACCTGAAAACCAGAAGTGGTGCTGTAGCTCAAGGGGTAGAGCGCTCACCTTGGGCTGAAGAGCTGAGGGACAGCGCTCAGGCCCAAAGTTCAAGCCCCATGACTGACAAAAAAAAAAAAAAGAGGTACGCATGCCACATGCTGGTGGCTCACCCCTATGATCTTAGCCACTCAGGAAGCAATCAGGGCTTGCTCCATGCAGAATCTTCTAGATTGGCAATGCCACCTTGTTCGTGGTGGTTGTGTCCATTTGATAAATGAAAAGCTCAGAGAGGGAAATGATTTGCACCTGGTCACGTGGTCCATTGGAGAAAGGTTAAGCTCGCATGGAGACCGTAGGGCCCCGTTCTCTCCCCTATGGGAGCGGCTGGATGTGTGGTTGAAGAGCTTGGCATCTGTGGGCACTTGGTATTTGTTGGCAGCTCTGCAGACACTGGGAAGCCTGGCCAGCGAGCAGCCAAAATACACACTCCTTTTCCTTCCTGTTCCTTCCCATTAAGTCTTTAGGGTGCCTGGCTTCTAGCCCACCACAAGATGTCCGGGACGGAATGATAGGCCCTGGCTAAGAGCCAGGTCTGTGCCCTGAAGGGCACAGCTCAGGCCGGCTGGGCAGTGAGCGAGACAGGGTGGGCCACACCTGCAAATCTGCTGGGTGCTGTTCACCCCTTGGCCGGTAGGTAAGAACCGTCCCACTAAACAGACTGGACAACTGGGCAGGAGAAACTAAGCAGAGGTTTTATAAGCTGAGCTGACCCTGGGACCCAAGCCTGGCTCTGACACCTAGTGGTCTGATGCTAAACTTTTTCCTCCTAGGCCTACAGCGGTGCCCTCTACCCCCCCACCCCCCGGGGCTGGAGTCTCATCTGAGACAGACTCTGGCTGCTCAGTACATCCGGCCCATCCTAGATGCTCACTACCTAAGCATGGAGAGATTCAGAGCTTTCCAAGCTGCCCCAGAGCCTGGCCGTTGCATAGCCCCTTGCCTCTGGGCGTACTATGGGCCTCATTGGGGAAGCCATCCGACTTGCCCCCCCCCACTCCCCTGCCCCCACCTTCCAGACTCGGCATCAAGCCCCCGCTGCCTGTCCAGCTCCACTGTGAGGACCCCTGCCCTTCACACAGACTCGGCTGCCATCTTGGTTTTGTTTGGCTGCTTCTCTTTGAACAGCCCTTAGGATGCCATCTTGATTTGTATGGAATGCTTTTGGCTTATGGCTTTACCTATGTGGCTCAGGGCATGCTCACCAGGAGCACAGCAGGGAGTGGAAGTGAGACTCCCTCCTCAGGCTGCCTCAGTTTCCCCATCTGACCAGGTGAAGATGCCCAGCCCATGCACAGGGCGTGGTGACATATAACAAGTATCAGCTCCAGGGCAGCTGCTTTTGGGCACGCAATGTGGCGAGGGGCGGTCCTAACACAGTTCCTGTCTAGGGGTGGATACCAGAGAGCCCAGTCTTAGGAAGCAGCTGAGCATCCTTCCCATGTGGTACATGAGAATCCCTGGCTCCAAGAGAATGAGAACCAATGGCCACAGGATCCCTGTGCTCTAGAGCCGGACTGCATCGCTGTGGGCACCTTATGCACTGCTCTTCAGTCCCAGAGATCTGCTGCTCTGGGGGCCTGGAGCCCAGCAATGGGCCTGCTGTTCCCATCCTCAGTGCGCAGCCAGGACATCTGTCTGTGTCCCAGCTTCCTGTGAGCACCTTGCCCTGGCCTTGGATCCCATGCCAGGACTCTGGGTCTCCCCCCCCCCCTTCCTGCTTTTCATCTTCTTCAGCTTCTGCTGAACCCACAGCACCTCTAACCTCTCCTGCCTCTCAGACAGTCCTGCCCTTAACACGGTTAAGGGCGGAGCCTCACAAAGCCCCACTTCTAGCATTTGGGTCCCTAGGTCTGGGGCGAGGCCCACAGTTTACATTTCTAACAGACTTCCAGCAGATGCTGAGCTGGATGATCTAGGATGTGACCCCGATGCTGAGTAGGACCCTAGGTCACGCCCTTGCCTCCCCGATCATTTCCTGGCTGTCAGTCCTGAGCGATACCCCAGGGCTGTGTAAGAACAAAGCCCAGTGATTTCAGAGTGTTTAGCCCTGGCCTGTGTCTGACACCAGAGGCTCCTCTGCCCTGGTCAGCTGGCACACCGTAGCTCAAAAGCCACTTGTTGGAGAAGCGGCTGGAGGTGTCCAGTTACCGGTTTGGTCTTTTAGCTGCAAGAGAGAGGACACCTCGGGAGCTGGGTCTGCATCTAGTTCATTCCTGAGTAAGTAATGTCGGCCATTCACCAAAACACCACTGAGCAAGGAGCCATCACCCAGCTCTCGACCCTCACTGGGTGGATTAGAAGCAAACCGAGAGCCCACACATCTATGAATAAAAGGAAAAGATGACGTGGAGAGAGGAAATCCCAGGGCCCGGCCTGCAGGGGCTCTGAGTGACAGGATGGAGCGTCGGGTTGTCAGAGCAGAGGTGTAGTGTGGTGTGTAGGGGGAGGGCAGGCTGGAGGAGGAAGGTGCTGGCACCCGTCCTGCATGCCTGGCACGTCTCTAGGCTCTGCAG